TAAGTATTTCATATGCCCTTTTTTTGGTAAGATAAAGTCAAGGGGTGAGGGGACAGCTCAAAAGCAGGAGATATGGTAAGTACACGCTGAACAGAGCACTAAAATAGCAATAGTTAAACATGCTATAAATAATACTCATATTTCAAGCTAAAACATGAAGCTTAACATAAATCTACTAAGTAATAAATTCAAGCTATGGTTAATTAAACTACCTTGCAGAATAAGGCCATTCATCATCCTGTTGGATCCTTGCACATTTAGTCTTCCACTTGCAGCATTGACCCTAAAATCGATGTGTGATGAGATAATCGACACCGACAACCCACCAGAGCTTATATTTATTCCAATGTTACTTCTGCGCACAATGTTTGTAATACGTGGACCCAAAGCTGGGTTTCCAGGAACATAATTTCGATTACCACTGGTGGCCAAGTTTGAGGATAAACCTTGAATGGTACCACCCATATTCATTCCACTTCTAAATGCTTGACCTCCACCAACATTCATTACTCTACCACTGACACCTGAATGTGCATGAGGAATCTGCAAAAGAAAAAATAATACCAAAAAAGTAAAAATCGTCATCCTCCACATGAAACCAAAGCAAGAGTATGTTATAATTTATCAAGCCAACAAAATTGTTCCTTAGATTGCAAACCAATTAACATGCATATTCATGATGTTGAACGTATATAAATAACAATGCCGCAAACCTCCACAAAGGTGGGCATTCGAACCTGAGAATGACAACAGGAAGGCTGTTTGCAGCAAATCTCCCAGAAATGCTCCCTCTGGGTTGTTGGACCCCAGATGATGGAACGCTACTCTTCACAGCATTCCTTTTTGCATGTGATCCAGGAATATTTTGGAAGACTATAATTTCCATGAATGTTGTGCAGACCTGAAAATGCAGAAAATGATAAGAGATAAAAACGTTTAATCAATGGGCGTTGCACTATGTCAATGCGCTAACCGAGTTAGCGCACCATGTGCTCACCAGAGTGATGAAAACCTTGAAATAATCCAGATTGACCGGAAAAGGATGTTGCAAATGGTCACTTGGACGAGTCTGGAAGGTTCGATGTGGGATGTGGAACTGTTAAGATTAAACTACCAAGGAAGAAAGCATCAAGTTATCAAGACAAATAATAACAAAAGATAGTAAACAGACAGAATTGGAAAGTGTATGTGCACAGTGAATCAATGGTAGTCCAGTAGAAGGATAAGCAAGTACATTCAGCAAAATGGACATTGTTGACAACTGAAAAGCAAGTCAACACTCAAGGTCAAACAAATTAAATTACTCATAAATATTTAAACCAGACAAATTAAATTGAACTCTCTCTCTCTCTCTCTCACTTAATTCAGGGCATTTCATTAATATATGTTGCTCCTTTCAGTTCAGGGCCTTCCTTTTCTTGTGCCATCACACATGCCACCTAAGTCGATATGGCTGAAATACGTGCCATCACACATGTCACCTACATAGAAATGGCTGAAACACCATTCTAAGGAATACATTACACATAAGCTTGATGACAGAACTACTGCCAATGTAAAATATTTGTAAGCCTAATTGAGAACTATGTTAGAAAATAAAATAAAATAAAATTGTCACTATTGTATTATTATAAAACAAAATTATCACTCGTGTTCTTGGTAAACACGGTGAGATGTAAACAGTCAATGAGATTATTAGAAGTGATAAAAATGGAAATGCACAAGAAGTGCAACATATTAACAAAAAATTTAGAGCAAGGACTGACATGACGATAGGAAAAATGAATCAATGAGGTTATTAGAAGTGATAAAAAAGAAATGCACAAGCAATGCAAAATACTAAAAAGAATTCTAGAAGGTTTCACATGACTATGGACAATTGATTTTTGCTTTCGGCGAATTTATGGAGACAACAGGTGGCTCTGAGCTTGGCAACCTAGCATGTACTGAATATATCTCTGAATGACTTACTGCAAGTGTGTGTCATTAAAGTAACGAATTTTTTCTTCACAAGCTTGATTCCTGATAAACAAGGGCCAATTCATTAGACTTATGGATAGAATATAGACCAAGTTGATGCAAAACATTACATATTACAACACCGCTGCCACTGCAATTCAGGCAACTCCTTGTGTGCAGCCTTGTTCTTCTGTATCTGCAACAAGTTTATTTGGTCCACAAATTGTTTGGCCGAATGCACTTATCAACACACAGGCAAGCTAGAAATCTTCGTATAGGGGGGATACCTTCTTCCTACATGAGATTAAAAAAAATGTACATCAGACTTCAAAGCAAAACGATCCTCGGCCATCGAGAGAATCAAATTTCAGAGGACCAGCAGGGGCCCCATCTTGTTGTGACTGGTAGTGAGGAGCAGCCTCAGAGTAGCGTCATGTATCATAAAAATCATGCTTGGAGTGAAAACAAACAAACTTGCATCATAATCTGCTACCAACTGTACACTGCATGTTACCTACAAAGCAAACTGAAAGAAAAGTATTTCTTGTTTGAGAACCGAAGAGACATGCACGCATATCATGGTATGAAAAGATAATAGAGTTGCAATCTGATGCAATCATCAAGACAGGTTTGAGTGTCGTGTGGATGGAGTCAGAGCTTCACGGCCACCTGAAGCGAAGAAGTGCAGTCGTATTGGATTTAACAGGAGCTGGTCACCATCACCATACAGCAAGAGATGCAAGCAATTGGTCGCCGGACCCACGCAGTCCCGACCATACATGCGATCGCAAACCTCGCAACATTAAGATCAGAACACAAAATTTGAATCAATTTGGTCCTCTTGTCCTAAGAGAATGAATGAATGAGCTTACCACATCTGAATCTGTTGTTGCCGCTGCAAGTCAGGCTTATAGCGATAGAACTTGCAGCCCCTGCTAAACAAGAATGACAGCCCCTTCCACTCTGAACCCATTGCACAAATCACAATTACACCCCACTCCATGAACACATTTAATTTGCATTCCGAGGTGCCGGATGATGCCGACGGCAAAGGGGTCGTGGCCGTAGATGATGAAGCAGAGGTCGGCGCTGACGAAGTCCATGAAGGCGCCGAAGATGGCCACTGGGTCCTGCCCTGCCATGTTGGCATCGCCGGGGAAGCCAGGAACGCATGGTTGGCTCTCGTTAAATCAGAAATATTGTGTCAGTTATAAAATCCATGCAAAACATTACTTGACGATTCTTTGAACAACATGAGAGCTAAAACTAAGTTCAAGTGGCATCTATTCAAAAAATAATGTTCAGTATTGATCATGAATTGTTAAGCAAAAAGTAAGGAGAGCATGACAATGTTAATAAACAGCGACAGTGAACACACACACGCATGCTCAACAGCGTCAGGAAGCACACACATCAGCAGGAAGCACACACAGCGGCAGGGCACATCACGTACACATGCTGGGTACAAACGAACAATCTTAGTACACAAAAAATAGAGCAAGGATAAATAAGTTTGCTTTCTCAAGAAATAATTAGGGCTCACAGGAACTTCTCAACGTGCTTTTGTTGCACATTCTCTGATAAAATTTGCAGTGACCATTGCTCTGCTTTGAGACTACAGAAAGCAAACACAAAGCGAACAGAAAGTGAACATACTTGTTCCTCTCGATTCAGGGCACGCCCTAACGGCGCTCCTCACTGTAAAAAGGAGCCCCAGGACCATGAACGATCAATCTAGATATTTATGTTACCTTCTAAAATCAAGGCCCTCGAGTTTCTTGAGAGCGGACTGTTTTTTAAAACCAAACCAGCACTCAGGTAGATAGAAACCATGCTATATGCATACCACCCTAGAACTACATCCTTTTCTTGCATTTCTTCTAAAACTTCTCCAACAACATTTATCTTGTTCAATGCCACACGGCTGGTCATTGGAAGGAAACATGTGAGGTTATCCGGCTTAATATTCTTCACCTTCATCTCCTCAAAAAGGCTACGGATATTCTGATGCTGGCCTAACTTCATGCAAATGGACATCAAACTGTTGATGAGGCAGAGTACTGGCTGAGATGCCAAGTTCGTCCATCTTGCGATAAAGGTCTGGAAACTATCCTGTGTAAACCATCAATAACTACGGTGTTGTGTATGGACAGATGATGAGCACCTTCGAAGAACACTTTAGGAGTAGAGATTACTCAATTAACTATGATTTAGCAAAACTGGAAGGTTATCATCAGCATGTCCTGACCTGGTGCCAGTTTCGGAAGTTTCTATAAATATTGGAAGATATAACTGACATGAAGCAACATCAGGTATTCCCGTAGTAGCAACCTGCAATTATAGAAACAACCTAGTATTATGACGTTGCATCACAATATGAAGAGTGCCATCCTTTCTGGAGCTACAGCAGTCCTGAATCATTTAGTACTATATCTGTCTTTTGAGTTCATCGTCAGTCTTCTTCAGAAAAACATCACAAGCCCAAATTAGTCATTGCAGGAACTTTGCATTATCTGTTCACCGCGTCTACAATTCGACATGATTCATTAATTAAGTTGGCAGTTTTTAAAAGAGAATTGGCACATGATTTTAACCTCTTACAACTTCTTGCTAATTGTCACCGACTAACAATCAAACAAAGACCTGCACGGTGCTTAACCAATAGTAATTCAGCAAATTACATGTTAACTGAAGCATCAAATTAATTGACAGATTCTTGCTCATGGTCAAAGACTAACAATCAAAGTAAATTGCCAGCATATGGATGCAGAGGCAGTTGGTTGTGGCGCCTTGGACCTCCTGACCCTGGGGCAAACGAGGTCTGAGTTGGTCCTCCAGCCGTCATACACAAAAGCTATGCGGAAATCACCTGTACACATGTGGTCCGACACATGAATGAATCTCCACGAATGAGACGAGCAGGTTAACCCTAAAATCAGATTCTTTGCCCAAAAAATCAATTTGACAAATCCAGCAATGGCAGCAGAGGGGGAGGGCTGGGCAGACGTTGGTCTCAATAACCTGGCAGACGAAGAGGGAGATCATGGAGGTCTTGCCAGCCCCTGACTGGGCCTGGGCGATGACGCCGTGGACGGTGATGATTGGGATGACGGCGCGCTGCTGGATGGATACGCCATTGACGACGGCTGGATCTGGAGGGGAGGTGACGGCGCACTGCTGGATGGATATGCCCTCGACGACGGCCGGATCTGGAGGGGAGGTGACGGCGCGTGCAGAGGCCACGCCCGTCGTGGTGCTGGTGGAGACTGCCGGGCGGCGGTGTCATAGGAATGGCGGCGCATGGAGAGATGCAGCCGGCAAGGGCGTCCATGGCGTGGGGTGGTGCTACATCTCGTGGAGGAGACGGAGCCAGGGAGAGATGCGATGAATAGGAGGGGTTGGCCCTGAGGAGAGATGACTCGACACGTTCGGTCGGGAGCCTGGCCAGCGTGAGCTGCTCCCTCCATCATCGCCGCCGTTTGGAGAGGGGGCGTGGCCGCAGCCGACGCATTCATCGGCCACGGCGAGGCAGACGAGCCCGGCGACGAGATTTGATTCGGTGGGCGGCTGCGTCCTAGGGAGGGAGATGAGAGCGGGTTAGGGATAAGGCAGATGAGTCACTCGGGTTTTTTTTTTTTTGTGCGCATGCGTGGGAAAGGATGTAAAAAAACCAAGGTGAAATAGCGTGGTGGAAGAGGATGACGAAAAAAAATCGAACGAAAATGATGGGACGAAAATAAAATCCGGAACGCGACCTACCAACTGAGACATTAGGAGTAGAGATGAGCATGTTTGGTTAATATCCACATACTGCCAAACTTTGCGACAAATGTGGCAGTGGCTTGTGGTTTGTTTGTTTCACTATCATAGTTGTGCCATGCCACACTTTTTTTAGCAGCATGCCCTACATTTCATAAGTACATATTTATTTCTAATTGTGGCACACTTGACCACTTTGTGGCGACCAATTTGTTCACCACACCTTTTGTGGCTTGCCACGAATTAGAAAGAAAAGTGTAGTGAAGTCTAGCTATCTAATAAACACGCACATTTTTTTGTTCTTTTTTATATATGTTGGTCACAAATGGTTATAGCTTTTGTTAAGTTTTTGTAGTGCATGTAATGTAGCACGATTTACATCTGTGAAGTATATATTTTTTTCACACTTCTCGAGGGACAAGATGGTGTATGGGTAACTTGTTAAACAAAATTCTTGTTCTAAGAAACATAGAACTCAACTTTGCCTCGCATGCTTTGAATTTTTCCTTTGTTGACTTAAAGTGCTGGCAAACCAAGATATTTTGCCTCAAAGTCTCATTCACCACTTTAAAGTCTGCTTCACCTCATGTTGGATCGCGGGATGAACATATATACCAAACTAAATAAAATAAAGGATTTCTCGATGGGCTGACTTTTTGGCTAGTGAGGTTGGGGTTTACAGGGACTTATGGGTGGTTTTTATTTATATTTTAATCATCCTGTTTCGTTTGTATCAAGTCAGTGCGGCGTCCGGAGCCGGCGTGAGGTCTATGAGAAGTGTTGGAGGTTTGACTCTTCTGCAATTCACTCTACCGTGACGGCTTCTTCTCCATGGCGCTCATGTTACCGTGATCCTGATAACGCGATTGCTCCCGCGATGTGATGTAGCGGCGCCGGCCCTTCGACCAAGTCGAGTGGGTGATGATAGTCCTCGCGCCCCTAGGGATCTCGTTGCGGTTTTTAACTCTTTTTTCCTTGGGCTTTCACGCAGTCACACCTGAGGGTTTTTCTATCTACAAAGAAAATGAATGTTAGGACCAGAATCCCATGGCCGAATCTTTGTTTCTATTTTGATTTGAGATAGGAGTACATAAATAAAAATGTAAAATGAAGATACGTTTATTTCTATTTGCCGCTTCCGCGTGGCGAAAGCGGCTAACGGATACCCCCAACGCGGCGAGAGCCCGCTAAACTGAACAGATAACGTCTTTCACTCCACTCCACTCTCAGGCCGCTTTCGCCACGGCCGCCTGCCTGCGCTCCCTCCAATGGCGACCCCCGTCGCCTCCCCGCTCCTCCTCCCCTCCCCGGCCCCCCTCCCGGCCCAAACCTTCCCGCCCCGCCGCCTCACCGCCACCCGTCGCCTCCTCCTCGCCCCTCCCCCGCGCGCCGGCCGCCCGCGCCTCCGCGACCCGCCGCCGGCGCCGGTGGAGGAGGCCGCCGCCGCCGCGGCCGTGGAGGAGTACGAGGCGCCCCCGCTCAGGCTCCTCGACCCGCCGCAGGAGGAAGAGCCCTACCCCGACGAGGTGATTTCCCAGCACTGCACTGTGCCGCTCCCTCCCTCCCTCGTTATACGTTGCTGACGCTGCTTGGGCAATGGTGTTTGTGTGCAGATGGAGGCGGCGGACCCGGACTTGTACCGGATCGGGTACGCCCGGATGATGCGCGCCTACGGGGTCGAGTTCCTCGAGGGCCCCGACGGCATGGGCGTCTACGCCTCCCGCGACGTCGACCCGCTCCGCCGAGCCAGGGTGAGCCGCTCACCGCCATTTCCCTTCCTTTCCCTGCCAATCTCCATTGTTTCAAATTGGACACACCACTTGCATTCAGTGATGTGGAATTGCACAATGTTGACTATAACTGATGGGCTCCAATTGGACACACCACAGTGAAATGCCCATGTTGCTGTTTGAATGATAGATTAAGTTTAATTGCACAATGAGTCAATGATGTGGAGTTTTCTTCACTGATGTACTAATTCCTTTTATTCTGTACCAGGTGATAATGGAGATTCCATTGGAGCTCATGCTGACTATAACTAAAAATCATCCTTGGATGTTCTTTCCTGACATTATCCCACTAGGACATCCTATATTCGACATTATCGAGTCAACAAATCCCGAGGTAAATGGATGAGCTGTCCACATTGTGAAAACGGAAATGAAACTATTGTTTTCCCCCGGGTTTCTTGTGTGTTTCATGGGCAGCTCTGCTATACTCATCAGTTTGTTAACCACTTGTGGGGTCCTTGCATCAAATAATTTTATTTGTTTGGTTATGTGAAACACCTTGGAAAGATTCTAGTTCCGATGTGTTGAAGCTGTGCTTTTTTATGTTTGTTCTTCGTTTCCATATTTTTTATGGTGTAAATTTCTACAGCATGAGTGCTGACGAGCCTGCGTAATTGAGACTCCAGAGCAATTTTACTGCACATTCCTACCATATGCCTGCGGGAAATCATCCTTACTGTTAAATTGGAGCAGAGGGAATTATATCATTCTCAATACTTGCTGAATCCTGTTTTCTCCGTTCATTTGAGTGTCAAAGCTTCAGTAATCAACACGGATGTAGACTGCAGACTAATGTGATTCGTATTTTCTTGCAGACAGATTGGGATTTAAGATTAGCCTGCCTTCTTCTCTATGCATTTGATGTAGAAAACAACTTTTGGCAGTTATACGGTGATTTTTTGCCTAGTGGTGATGAATGCACCAGCTTGCTTCTGGCACCGAAGGTACTCTATAGCTAACTAAACGTAACTCCTGCTTTGACTTTCTTTTCAGATGGAAGCTTCTCACAACTTTGAATTAGTTTGCTTATTTACCTGCCTGGGTTGCAGGAGGATCTAATGGAACTGGAAGACGAAGATCTGTCCTCAGAGATGTTAAAACGCCAGCAGCGAGCAGTTGATTTTTGGCAGAAACACTGGGTACAATTTTGTGCTATTTTATCCACTTTGCTGGCTTGGATACCTCTAACACTCGCTTGATGGGTAATATCCAGCACAAAGCAATCCCTCTCAAGCTAAAGCGGCTTGCCCCTGACCACGAAAGATTTCTCTGGGCATTGAGCATTGTTCAGTCTCGCTCTTTCAACTTGAATATGAGAATGGGAGCTTTCATTCAAGATGCAAATGTCCTAGCTCCTTATGCCGGTACTTGTTTAATGTTTATTCTTCTTTCACCCTTTTACTTATTTTCAGTCTGAAAATCAGCAACAATAAAAAAATCTTTTAGTAAATACTTGCACTTTTTTGTTTGTATCGGTGAATACTGTATGATTGTTCATTATTTCATAATTCTGGTATATGAATTGGTTTGAAATCGTGGTCGCAAAATTCAGAACTGCAAGCCTGAAAGATGACTTATGATTTCTCTTTTTGCTCCAGATATGCTAAATCACTCACCTGATGCTAACTGTTTCCTGCATTGGCGTTTCAAAGATCGAATGCTTGAAGTTATGATTAAGGCGGGGCATGCCATCAAAAAAGGAGATGAGGTACTGTTTAAAGAGCAGACTGTACACAAGCTGCAGATGCACCTTGGCTGCAGAATACTTATTTTACTTTCCAGAGGGCCAATCCTTGTGCCTTGATAGAAAAATGTTTTATAGCCCTTGAAAGGGGCAATCTTTGTATTTCATGGTCAATTGCTGGCAGATTCATTTGTGTCCCCTTCTTTGCTTTTTTGAACTGTCGCTTAGTTAGCTAGCTGCTTCTGTGTTCGCAGCCCACCCGGGTTCAAGGATTGGCCTCCTGTGATGCTTGGTAATTCTTTTAAATGAAAAAAGGCTCAGGCCTTAGGTGGTAGTGCCCATAGGTTAAGTTCTTTTCATCATTTACAAGTTTAATTGATAATACAGTGTTCTATTCAGTCTTAGTTCTTCGCATGGCCTTATTCTGTTAGACTCGACAAAAGAGTATGCTATTCTCGCAGTTTCTTTTGTCCCAAAAATTTGAAATCACTTTTCTTAATGCAATCTTTATATTCGACCATTCACAGATGACAATCGATTATATGAGTGCGGTGAACAGCACGTTGATGCAAAGATATGGCTTCTCATCACCAACGGTAATCCATGCCTTTGAGTTTAGTTATTATTTTCTTGTATGCAAATTCTGTGGTGAAGTTACTTCCCCACTTGCCAACAAGACTAAGGAATACTTTCTCAGTTGTATTTGTATCTCTAGAGATTATAATCCTTAGAGGAAACAACTCTAGCATTCAGACATGCCACAACTTGGCATTATTACAGTACCTCTGGTGCATAATCTTTCAAACTAACGTGGCCTTTATGTTCACAATAAATTCTGTAGAACCCCTGGGAACATATAAACTTCTCGAGCCCTGCCAAGATTCACCTGGATTCCTTCTTATCGGTCTTCAACATAGCTGGCTTGCATGATGAGCTGTACCACAATGGTAGGAAACACAAAATGTTCTTATTAGTCATTTCGCAAAGAAGCTGCCTTGATTCACAACATTTCGATCTGAATTATCGTATTCATATCTGCTTGCAGTTGCATTGACCTCAGGGGAAAGCACCTTTGTCGACGGAGGAGTGGTGGCGGCAGCGAGGACTCTGCCGACATGGTCGGACGGCGACCTTCCTGCCATACCGAGCGTGGAGAGAAAATCCGCTCAGGCGTTGCAGGAGGAGTGCCGGAAGATGGCGGAGTCTTTCTCGACCACGATCCGACAGGACGAGGAGATTCTAGGTAATGCGCTTCTTGGTTCCCACTAGTATTTATTCACTT